TAGGGTAGGTAGTCTTGACAACCATGAGCCAGTGGCAATGAATCAGCAAACCACTTGCAAGAAGTTGTCTCCTCTGACCTGTTCTGTGAAACCAATACCACCTTATTTGACTCAGAGACAGTTATGAGGTTTTCTGTTACTTGCATCTGTAAGGATTCCTAGCTGACTTAAGCCTAAAAGTCAAGGTAATGTGTATTGTAAGTCGACAACCAATTTTGTTCCTAATCTTTGCATATCACTTAACAGTTTTTAACACATTTTTGCCCATTTTACTGAATGACTTACATTAGAAAAGATTGCTAGTTAGTTAAATATGAAATCCTTGACTATGCAAAGAAATACATAAGTTTTATTCAATGACACAGTAAACTGGAAAGCCCACTGTACCTATCTAAATGCTAAATACATTTATATATTACTGTTATGAGAAAAGAAGCCATGACAAATTTTTGAGGAAGGGATTTCATCTCTATTTAAGAATAGACTTTGAATGATGGACTGAAAAAACTAGATTGGAAGCAAAGAGACCTGCAATGAAGCTCTTGCTTAATGAATGAAGACTCTGCTGACAAAAGTAGCAAGGAATTCTAGCCAGCATGGAGAAAGGAGTACCCAGAATATATGTTTAAGAATTAAAAAATAGGGCAAAATATATTAAATATCTATTTTCAGACCTTGGGCCACAGGCAGAGCAAAAATGTGATCCCAAATGGAAAAGAAGCAAATGAGGTGAGCCCTACAATTGTCCTCATTTTATGGCTGGAGGTACCGTTAGACCATGGAGGAAGATCCAGACAAAGCTGGGCTGAGAAGACAAAGACTGAATCTGAGGATTATGGGATATCTGGAATTTGTAACAAGTGCTAGAAAGAATTTCAGAATACCGCTTAAGTCTTTTCCTGAATACTAAGAAGTGGATATGTAGGATGAAGCTCCGAGAGGGTAGGCAAAAATTAACTACCAGGGGGAAAAAACGAATTACTGGTGAAGTAGAATCTGAACAACTAATTGCTGGAATTCACAGGGAAAGGAGTCAATTGAGTTTTGGGGTGTGTGTGTGTGTGTGTGTGTGTGTGTGTGTGTGTTCAATACATTTTTATTGATTTCAGAGAGGGAGAGAAACATCAATGAGACAGAATTACTGATGGCTACCTCCTGCACGCCCCCTACTGGGGACAGAACCTGCAACCCAGACATATGTCCTGAAGGGGATAGCCTGACACTCAATCACTGAGCCATATCAGCCAGGTGAGTCATTTGAGTTTTATCCAACTACAGTATACTAGTAGAAACTTTATTGAAGACACGTGACAGACAGTAGAAAGCCTTGGCCACTTCTTAAGAAGAGGTCTAGAAATCCTTACAGCAAAAGATAACCTACACCCTCACAAAGTTTACAAATGAGCCTCAAAAGAATCAAGCTGATCAGCTATTAGAATTAACAGCCTCCTAAAAGGAAGCACTTCCAAACCTGATACGAAGAGGAGGAATCTGCAGATCTCTCTGTAGCGCCTGCTGGATGGTCCCAGGCAGTGGCTGACTTTGCACCTCCCTGGAGACCCAAGAGCCAGTGCACCCAGTGGTCAGTATGAGACCGTACCAGATTATAACTCTACACATCCATAAGCGACACACTCAAAGGGCAGACCCAGTGAGCATCAAAGCCCCACTGTAGTCCCAGCTGGTCCTCACAGCCAATTGGCCCGTAACTCAATTTCTCCCAGTGACACACACAGCAATCAAGTCTCAACTACAACAATACTGTGCTCACAGCCCACAAAGAGGTGCCCCTAGAGCACATGTGTCAAACACAAGGCCCGCGGGCCAAATCCGTCCCGCCAGGCCTTGCAATGTGGCCGGCACCACGTTTCCATCACAATGACAGTTTATGACTGTTCAGTAAACCATTCGGCCCGCGATTTAGTCTGGATTTTAGATTTTGGCCCCTTCTCTGATTGAGTTCGACACCCCTACTAGAGTGTCCACCTCAAGTGACTGGGGAGGCTGAGTCACCAGGCCCTATAGGACACCTACTATATAAAGTCACTCAATCAATTCAAAGAGACATAGCAGCTCTACCCAATACATAGAAACAAACATAGGGAAGCAGCCAAAATGCAGAGACAAAGAAACATGTCACAAATGAAAAAAAAAAAAAAAATGGGAGAAAGCAAACTACTGGATTTAGAGTTCAAAACCACAGTTATAAGGCTACTCAAGAATCTTCTAGAAACCTCCAAGAGATTTAATGAGACTTTCAAGAATCTTAGTGAGAATGTCAAATACATGGAAAAGGATTAGTCAGAAATTAAGCTACACTAACTGAAATAGAGAATAGCATACAGGTATTCAACAGTAGACTAGAGGATCCTGGGAATCAAATCAACAATTTGAAATATGAGGAAGCAAAAAACACCCAACCAGAAGAGCAAAAAGAAATAAGAATCCAAAAATATCAAGATAGCGTAAGAAGCCTCTGGGACAACTTCAAGAGTACCGTTATGGGGGTGTCAGAAGAAGAGAGAGAGAGAGAGCAAGATATTGAAAACCTATTTGAAGAAATAATGATAGAAACTTGTCCCACCTGGTGAAAGAAATAGATTTACACGTCCAGGAAGCACAGAGAGTCTCAAATAAGAGGAACCCAAAGACGACCACACCAAGATTAAAATGCCAGGGGCTAAAGACAAAGAGAGAATCTTGAAAGCAGCAAGAGAAAAACAGTTAGATACCTACAAGGGAGTGCCCATAGGATTGTCAGCTCATTTCTCAAAGAAACTAGGCAGGCCATATGGGAGTGGCAAGAAATAGTCAAAGTGATGAATAGCAAGAACCTACAACTAAGAATACTCTACCTGAAATAAGACATTAAGAATATACATCTCAGGTAAAAACTGCTGTTTGAATTTTAAACCTGCTAAGGCAATTTTCCTGTGCCTGGGACCATAACCTTTGGAGATTAACTACCGAGTTCTGCTTCTGCAAGATAGGACCACATTCCAATGTCCAGCAGGATGTGACTGGGAACGACCTTGTGGGCTGACCCCAGTTTTTAGAATATAGTCTTTAGGATTTAGAATTTAGAACAAAGGAAAATTCCTGTGGTTTGAACTGTTGCAGAGTTCCCAGAGCTGTCCGAAGGTGCAGGGGGAGTTTGGAGAGACTTGCTTTGTTCATTGCGCGATGAGCTTAGGGAGGATGAATTCAAATTCTAAGCAAGGTTACAGGCAGAACTTCCTTTTTTTTATTAAAGAGCCAGCCCTATGTACACTTAGTGGTTATCTTGATGCTGGCCTTGAAAACAATACAGTTCTATCCAACTGAAAAAATGCACCTGGCATGTTATTGAGATTGTGGGCATATCTGGTCTCTGGCCTACAAGGTCAGACAGCTAAGTTTATCTTCATCGTTCTTCAAACGGGCTAAAGCAAACTAGAAAGCAACATTTTATCTAAGAAGAACAGCAGAAAATTCCAAACAACACTTTGTTGCAAAATAGGGGTTTTTCCTTCTCGGAACCTTTAAAAAGAACTACCTGCCCCTGAAGCAGTGCAGTCCTGTGGAGTCTGCCTGCATGTGGGGCTCTTGCGGTTGTCCTGGCCAGATATTTCAATAAATCTTTGCCTGTTTTTATTAATAAATCATCAGCCTCCGGAGGTCTTATTTTGAACCCAGGGTTCAACCCCAAAACACTACCCAGCAAAGCTATCACTTAGAATTGAAGATGAGATAAAGAGCTTCACAGACAAGAAAAAGCTGTTAGTACTTTAAGCAGCAAGAACACACACAGATGATTTATATCAAGTGACAATTTTGGTCTATAAATTCCCAAAATGTATGGCATCTATTCCTCCCATTAGTTCCATGCAGACTGACAATTCAGCCCATTTTCTATTTGTGAATGTAACCAGTTCAGGTGCACATGCTGCTCTGGAAAAATAGCAGAGATTTGACACCAGCAGCCTTGGGTTCAAGTCCCAGCTGGGGCCCTGGCCGGTGTGGCTCAGTGGATAGAGCATTGGCCTGTGGACTCTAGGGTCCCAGGTTCAATTCCAGTCAAGGGCATGGGCACAGCCCCAGTGGGGGGGTGTGCCGAAGGCAGCTGCTCGGTGTTTCTCATTGATGTTTCTCTATCCCTCTCCCTTCCTCTCTGTAAGAAATCAATAAATATATATGTTTTTTTTTTGTTTGTTTGTTTTTAAGTCTCAGCTGGGATTCTCACCAACCAATTGATAATCTGGGTTACCACCTCTAGGCTGCGAAATGAGAGAACCTGTCCGCTTTCCCCTCTCTAGGCTGCCCTGAGGATCACAATGGAAAATGTAAGTGCAAACAGGCAGCTGCAGTAACTAAACCCTGAAAAGAAAAAAGAAAAAAGAATGACTTAAAACGTCCAGGAAGGCCAGCAGAGGTAGGTCTCACTTACCACACTTTTTTAAAAGGAGCGCGACCTAAAGTAAGAGGCAGGGCTCCGGGAGAACCCCTGGGGCGGGCTAGGAATGTGCCATAGTGTAAGAGAGGGGCGTCCCTTTCCAAAAAAAAAAGCTGTCACATGTAAGATTCTGCTTTTGGAACTGTACCCTACAATTATGCAACTTGACACTGGAACTTTTCCCTCGTCAAATACTTTCCCCGGGCACCACAGTTGAATAACACTCTTCACTTAGGTCTGCGGAGTTCAAAGTCCACCCCACGCATCCGCGTCCCGTCCTCGCACCCGCTCCGCACGGTCCGGCCCCGCCCCCGCAGCCCCCGCCCCGGGCCAGGAGTTTCCACTACGAAGGGAGAGGGGGGCGGAGGCGGCGATGGACTCCACCACCTCCTCTCGGGAGTAGGGGGCGCCCGGAGCGCCGCGCCCCGGGGAACCGGGAGAAACTTGGGCTAAGCGACGCGGGGTCCCGACTGCATCCTAGTAGAGGCCGAAGCCTCGGGGCAGAAGTGGGAGACGCGGGGCCCGCAACCATGAGGCGAGTGCGCCCTTCCGTCCCCGCGCGCCGCCACCCCCGGGGCCGCCCGCGGGTGGCACGTGCGGGAGGGGGCGGGACCGGCGCGCGGGCCGCCGGCGCCGCGGCCGGAAACAATAGTGCCGGAGCCCGAGCCGCGCGGACCGGCGGCGGTGGCGGCGGCGGCGGGGAGGCGCGCGGAGTTGGACGGTAAAGACCCCGCGCACAGGTGCCCCGGCCCCCCGACGCCCCCGACCCGATCCCGCGCTCCGTGTCCGCGGCCTCTCGCGCTGCTCCGCTTGGGGCGCCCAGACGGACGCGCGGACGGGAAGATGGACCGGGCACCGCGGCACCCCACGGGGTGGACCCGCCTCCCCAAAGCCGGAGGCGGCGCGGGGCGGGAGGGGGCCCGACGGACTCCCCCTGGGCGCCGAGTCCGGCGGCTTGGGTCCTCGGGATCCCTCTCTGGATGGGCGGGAGCCCGGGGCTAGGGGAACCCACGGCTCCTCCCGACGCGCCCCGTCACCCCGCCGCCCGCCCGCCCGCGGTGCCCGCCCCGCGCGGGGAGCCGCTGCCCGGCTCGGGGCGCTGCGGGTGCTTGGGACGAAGGGGAACCCCCTTGCACCCCGGGTGTTTGCGTTTGCACGTGCGTTTTCCGGCCGCCGATCGCAGACAGGAAGCCCCGCTGCCCCGAGTTAGTTAGCGAAACGGCAGCTCAGGTTCCCGCAGTGAAGTTTGCAAGCGACGTCCGAAGCAGGTCGCTTTTCCTGCGTTTTTTTAACCGCGTCCAGCAGGTGCCCAGTCCCCGGGCAGCGGGAAAGGCTTCTAGGGCAAGTTCTGTCTGTGCGCGATCGGGAGATGGAAGGGCGGACTGGGACTCCCGCAAACCGCTTGCCTTCAGAGCCTCTCCCCCGCTCCCCCTGCACGCCCCCTCGGCCAAAGGAAATACGGGACCAAAATAAGGCAGAGTGTCAGCTGGGCGAGGCCTCAGGGTAAAGGGACCATACGTCCCGCTTTTGAACAAATTGTCCCGCAAAAATCGGGACTTTTTTTTTTTTTTTTTTTTTTAAACGCCCCGGGACCGACTGTTACAAATCGGGACGTCTGGTCACCTTACTTTAGGGTCACCCGGTCTGTGTCTGTGCGCAGGGGAAGCGCGGTGGCGGAGTGCCAGGGTGCCGGTGCCGGTTGGATGGGACCGTGGCATTTGGACGGAACCCACCGCATCCTTCCCTTCCTAGAAGTTTCCGAGGATCGCCCCGCGGACAAGCCCTGGAGGTTGCGTTGCGTAACTTTCCTTTTCTGTTTCCTCCCAGGGGCACTATGAGCGGAGAGGAGCAGTTTGTCAACATCGATCTGGATGATGACCACGTCTGCAGCGTCTGCAAGCTGGGAACGGACCGGGAGACCCTCTCCTTCTGCCACGTGTGTTTCGAGCTGAACATTGAGGGTATGTACGTTTTATGGCATGAACTTTTTTTTTTTTAATTGATTTTTATTTATTTTTTTAAACAGAGAGTAAGGGATAGACAGAAACATCAATGAGAGAAACATCCATCAGCTGCCTCCTGCACACTCCCCGCTGGGGATGTACCCGCAACCTAGGTATATGCCCCTGACTGGAATCGAACCTGGGACCTTTCAGTCCGCAGGCCGACGCTCTATCCACTGAGCCAAACCAGTCCTGGCTTGGCATGAACTTTATTATACAGCTGCTGTATGGGAACTGGTTTTAGGAGGTAAAACAGCCGTTTCTTAAATGGTTGCAAATTGTGTCAAGTGTGGAGATCTGTTCAAGATAAAAGAGTTTGCGGAAACAAAGCTGAAGTTAGCAGAGCCAAGAATTTATTTTTAAAAAATCTTTTTTTAAAGCTCCCACAGTGCTAACCCCGTTTTTGCTAATATCAAAAATGAGGAGTATTGGCTGATTCATGTGTTTTGTGCTTTGAGAGCTTATGAAATTGTGAGATTTTAACAGGCGTGTGTGTATGTGTGTGTGTGTATGTGTGGTTTGTTTTGATTTAATTGAGAACTAAGGTAACCAAACATTTATTTTAATGGGCAAATGTAATTGTATTCCATGTTGGTTTCCTCAGTGCTATCTTACTATCTAGAAAAAAATAAAGTTTTAACTTTTAGTGGTCACTCACACCTTTAATAATTTCTTAAAATGAAAAAGGCTTTTAAAATGTCTTAGTATTTCTAAGAGTTCTCCAAATACTTTTTTAAAAATCTGTTATTCAGACTACTTATTTGGATTAGTGCACAGTTAATGTAGATGGCAATAATTTGCACCCAAGAAACATGTGGGAGATGTTTCTTTAATCTTGATGTTATCATGATAAAATTGTGATTTTTAAAAATATTTGAGTCAGGCTGAAAAGAATCTTAAAATTCTGATGATAATAAAAAAGTTTACCTTCAGTCTTTTGAATTTTGAATTGTAACATCAGAGAAATTTTTTTTTAGACCTGTAGATTTTGGGTTTCAAAGCAGTATTTCATTCTTTTTGATAGTTTTCAATATCTTTTTCTATCAATTAAGTAGGAAATAAGAAATGTTCCTATAATAAGAAAAAAGAAAGAGGAAAAAAATGCACATTAGGATGATATAGTACCTTGAGATTCCTGTTAGGACTTACTTTTCAGAAATTGTTATAGGCACCAAATTAATATATATAGATATTCTATATTAAAAGTCAAAATGATAACCATAAGTAGACTGCTAAAGACATGTAGAGTTGTTTATGTGACTGTCATCTTTTATTTAAGAACAAATTGGTTATGACAGTTTTGCTGTGATTCTCTCGGAAGAATTCTAGTTGCTGAACATGATAATTGACAGAAGCTCATGGATTTCCAGTAGGTAACTTTGGCTTTAATAGTGTAGTAAATAGAACTGATTTCAAAGGGCTGACTTAAAAAAAATGATTCTTCCGAATCATTTAAATTACGGTGCCCTTCGTCATGCTAGCATGAAAGGTTATAAATGTATGTTCTTTGGGAATAGAGTTGGCTCTATGTATTCTTTTACTTGTAGACTTTCATTTCAGATGGGCAAAAGCATTAGAAATGATCTAGCTCAAATCTGTATTTTACACTGACGGAAACAGCCAGACTGTGGGACTGTTGAGGGTTGCACCAATGGTGACGGCAAGCTGTTGTTAAGTCCCAGCATTTACTGTGAGCAATTCTGTGCCAGGGGCTGTTCTAAATAAGTACCTTACGTGGATTATCTTAGCTCAGAATAGCTCTGGGATAGCTCCTTTTATCCATTTTAGAGGTGGTGGAACCTAACCTTTGAGACCCAAGATACACTTTGAAGTCGCAGAGCAGTAATTGACGGTCCTGGACTTTGAAGCCTGATCATCTAGGACTAGTATATGTGATCTTAATTTCATTGATCTGCCGTCAATAGTTATTTCCACTGATAGGGCTAATACTAGAAACCTGTTTTGCTGAATCCTAATTGGCTACTCTTGCTATTCGGTTAGCCAACTTTTTCTAACCAGTGCTTCCTGCAAAATCATTAATCTTTTTCATGCTGTGATAGAATTTTCTACAGAACTTTCACAATTGCTTTTCTAGCCTTTTTTTATATATGTATTTTAGCTCAATCATTATATAAAGAATATACAGATATTTCTCAGGTACCATCCTTCTAAATATTTCTTCTCTAATAAACAGCTGTCTCAATTTGAATTAGGAGTATTTTATATTCTATCTACACTCAAGGTTTTATGTTCTTAATGCCAGTTAAACCTTTGTGAGAAAATTAATTTAAAATTAAATTTTCTTCTCACTTTATCTGAAGTCGGTTCTCAGTTCTTACAAATATAATACATTTTCATATCAACCACAGTGATGCGCTGGAACAATATAATCATTCTAGTATTCTAAGATTATTTTTGAAATCTTAGGAATGTTGGAGGGGGGGAGGAAGGAAGTGAGGAACTAGTTGAGGTAAAACGGAATCCCACAAAATTCCTGTTTTTATAATATATCATTGTGCAGGTTTTTAGAAACTAACAAAAAAGTGGTAATAAAATAATTCCATACCTAAAAATAAGGTATATTCTTTGTCTATGTCAGTAAACATTTTTAAATGTTTTTGCAGTTTTCTTTCCTATTCTGTGTTCTCAGCACAGTGCCAGACAATAAATATTAGAATGTAAAAGGGGTTTTAAAAAAATATTATACTTTATTAGTTTGGTGTAAGTTTCTCATAATATAATAATGTTGCTATTGCCTGGTTTCTTAGCATACTAATTACTAAATTCACTCAAAAACATTCTATTTGGTTTTTTGTTTGTTTGTTTTTGTTTTTCAGCTTTTGTTTTTAGCCTCTTAGCTGACTACTTTGGGGTGTTGTTTTTTTTGTTTTTTTAATTTATTGAGGTAACATTGGTTAATAAGATTATATGGATTTTAAGTGTGCATTTCTATGGCAAATGGTCTGTATACTGCATTGTATTCTCACCACCCAGAGACCATCTTCTGTCAGCATATATTTGGCCCAAGGCTAGCGATGGAAAAGATTCAGGGTGCCAGTCTGTTACTTCATGCTCTCTGTTTCCATTTTGTGCCAAAACGCTGTGCAAATAATCAGTGTTTCTGCCTCTCTCTGATAATTTGCTTTCTTCCTTTTCTACAGAGAAACTTTTTTATAAGATTGGGTTAGCACTGGCCAGTGTGGCTCAGTTGGTTGGGCTTCATCCCTTGCAAGGAAGGGTTGCTGGTTGGTTCCCCTCAGGTTTCAAGCTTGACCCCTGGTGGGGGTGCGTGCAGGAAGCAGCGATCAGTGTTCCCCTCTCACATGGATGTTTCTTTCCCTCTCCCCCCACCCCTTCCCCTCTTCCTGAAAATCAATTTAAGAAAAATCTTAAAAAATAAGATTGGGTCAGTTCCTAAGCAAAGTTTCCAGTTGATCTTGCTAGTTGATTAGTATGCATTCCTAAGTCTTACTAGTCCAGCTCAGACTTTATAGTCCATCTCAGTTTGGATTCTCCTCTAATTTGTTGAACTTTTATAGAAGCCGGCCCAAATTCAGATGCTTAGGAATCTTTCCCAAATGAAAAATCTATAGGTTTTCTCTTGGTTAAGGCACTGGTGAACCCAATGCTTATTTATGTTTACTCTTATTCTTGGTTTTCTATATCTGACTGAAATGCTGTTCGTATGGTCATAGTCCAAGAGCAGTTTGAATCTCAGTATTAAATCTTTGATAGCATCTTTCCACTTAAAGGGGGCCACCGTTTTTGGTAGGGAAACTATATACAGAATAGATAACTACATCTATAGTAGCTTCGTTCTCTTCTTTTCAAATAATGCCATGTTATTAACTAAACAAGCATTTTAAAATATAAAGCCTAATGTGAGTTTAGAAGATAGCGAGCATTAAACTTTACTTCCATTAATAGAACATTTTAGAAATAGTTAGAACATACGTAGAAAGTGTCCCTCTGTTGACATTCTAATAAAACTTAAGAAAATCTTTCAGTGTTTACTATTAAACTAGATGCCCAGTGCATGGAATTCATGCATGGGGGGGGGGTCCCCTCAGCCTCGCCTGCACCCTCTCTAATCCAGGATCCCTTGGGAAATATCCGACTGCCAGACGGGCCTAAACTGGCAGTCGGACATCCCTCTCACAATCCAGGACCTCTGGCTCCTTACTGCTCGCCTGCCTGCCTGGTCACCCCCAATTACCCCCCTTGCCAGCCTGGTCACCCGAATTTCCCCCCACCTGCTGGCCTGGTCACCCCTTACTGTCCCATCCCCTGCCAGCCTGGACGCCCCTTACTGTCCTGCCCCCGCCGGCCTGGTCACCCCACACAGCCTGCTGCTCAGTTGATTGGTCATCCCCAGCTGTCTCCCCTGTCATCCTGGTTACCTCACGCAGCCTGTTGCTCAGCGGTTTGGTCATCCCTCACTAACCCCCCTGCTGGCCTGGTCACCTCACGCTGCCTGTTCGGTCATCTGTTTGGTGGTTACGATTGTGACGTCACTTAGGACTTTATCTAGATAGATGTAATATAAAGACATCATTATATTTGCATAGCGTTGAAAGGTGCTTTACAGCACTTTAAATTTAAACTTAATATTATATAGGAAATTAACTTTAAGTGTGAATTTCAAATAAGGTAATACTGAGTGATTGAAATCAAAGTGGCTAAATAACACTGTAGAATTATCAACGTTATCAGCAAAGTTCTGGTTAGAATGGATTTAAATTATTCTAACCCGCCCTGGCTCGTTTGGCTCGGTGGATAGACTGCTGGCCTGTGAGGGGTCCCAGTTTCAATTCTGGTCAAGGGCACATGCCCGGGTTGTGGACTCAATCCCCATTGGGAAACTTGCAGGAGGCGGCCGATCACTAATTCTCTTTCATCATGAATGTTTCTATCTCTCCCTCTTCCTTCCTCTCTGAAATCAATAAAACTTATAAGAA